TTTTTCGTGGATACAACATTTGGATGTCCATAAATCGAATCGTGTATAAAATTGGGAAAGAACTTAAAATGGTAAACAAATTAATAGTTTCCACAGAATCTTCATTGTTTCATTTAAGGCGAACTCTTCTTCTGTATATCTTTTACATAAAATGCCACAATTCGTTTATAAATCCTATGTCCTTCTCATGTATTTGTTTTAGTCCAAAGTTGCAATGGTTTGGTTAATGTTTGCAATGGAAGATAAGAGTCAAGTTGATAAGAAAGAGAACTATTATACAAATTGATTCAATAAAATTACATCACATGCAATATAGTTGTACGTTTGAACCATTCCTAATATTGTATCAACTCACCTTCCACATATGATTATATATATACTCATCATCATGCCATATATGAACATACAACTTATATCAATCTAAACGAAAATCAGATTTTTTTTTAAAAGATATACTAATAATGTAATTTATTGATACTTCCATTCTACTTTACATTTAGCTAACAATATTACGGGATGTAATTAATGGCCCATTTTATGCCATGTTCCCTACCTTGATATTTTAATCATGACTTCACTTAATGAAAATTCGGAAATAGATGATATTATTACAACACTTAAACGAATTTTAAGAGGTAACAATTATCTTATATTCATTACGCCAAACGTACTACTATATTAATCAACTGAAACAAAAACCAAATTTTTAACTAATGAACTTGAACGAATGGAAAACAGAATTATAATTCCCGAACTTCATTAATTTGTCATGTTGAAGCTTTTCGTGACATGAATTTACAGATATGTACCTGATATTGGAAGCAAAAGAAAATGAAGATGAGAATCAGCAGCAGTAATAACAGTACAACAGCAACAACTGCCCAGCAACAGTAACAACCCAGTACAGACCGGTGGAGTAGTAATCCCAAAAACAAAAGCTTTAAGCTTTAAATGAAACAACAACCATTAATACTAATTTCAAACAAAGAAAGAAAGCAGTAGATTTTTTGTTTTTATTTTTATTTTTGAAAGCTTAAATATTTTTCGGAATTTTTCTCTCTTCTATTCTCTGTCCGTTTTTTCTCTCTATCTGTGTGTGTATTTTTTCTCGTATCTCTTTCTATTTCTTTTCTGTTCTTTTCAGATTTGTTTCTCTCTCTATCTTGTCTTGTGTTCAAGACTTCATATATATAATCCCATCCCATAAATCTTTC